AGATGGGCGTCCAGATTTCCTGGGCCGCTCGTACAGCATTCCAATAGGATGAGAAATGTTGTTTGCTTTAGGCCACAGTATATCACTCTGCGGCCTTGCCACTTGTTGACAACTGTGACCTTGTTAGAATCTATAAGTGAGACATCCACTTTCAAGTCGTAAAAACTGCAAAGAGAGACATGTATATAGAAAGATGAGACCAACCTCAAACTATAATCATACAGGAGTAAATTCAATAGAATTTTAAGGGGTCCACTTGAAATTCAAAGAACTTCGTGACAGGTTCACAGTTCATTTTGGCAGTTCGAGAGATTTCAGTTTGCTCTAAAAATACATTAGGCATAATTATTCATCTGTGTGAAACATAACCGTCTTAAGAAATTAACGAATCCACCAAAATCTACTATGATTTCCTATTTCTGGGTGTTTAACCAACAAAAATTAGCCAAACCAAAGAGACACCTCATTCTTTTTTTAAGAAAGCAATTACCATGTTCAATTACCAATGCACCATTAAATGAACTCTTGAGGAGCATTTTAGATTCTAAATCAAGGTAATTGGCAATTAGGATTTGCTTAATGGTATAGAACAAAAACAAAGTTACTTAGATTACACTAATAATTCTCATTTCGGAATAAAAAAAAAACATCCCCCACCCCAGCCGTCTCGCTGACTTTGATTATAGCATCTCATACGATACGTACTCCAACCGTCTCGACAGCAAACAGCCTTTCTGCCACCGAGCATGTCATAAACAGGGCATTATAAAAATTGTTTTCAGCATTACTGTCATGTTAGACACTCGCTCCCTTCAGCTCCCCGTGAGGCGGCCACCTCGGGCTCCTGCTCCACGCTGAGCCTCTCTGATCTCAAGACCTAGAGGCTATGACCTCATTAGCATACTCCCGTAAACAGACTACGCTTTCCGTAAACAACAGCCCGGCTCGGCACAAACAGCGGATGATACGGGCAGAGGTCGTCCTCACCCACTGAACGGCGAGCGGCACCAAGGTTTTGCTCGTAATGAATAGAGGTTGGAATAAGGGGACCGTTGTCGTTCTGGGGCTGGTTTTCTGTTTACAAATCCACTAGGGTAAGTAATGATGTATTTGCCTCAGCCTATCCTCTCCCGCCTGTGTCCGTTCCTTCACGTGGCGGGCTGTTCAAACTGGTGTAGCCGAGGACTGGCGTTAATGGCCCCTCTCTTAAAAGGCACTTAGCTGAGTCGCAGTCCTAAGCCTCTCCCTGGGCTCTCCATTTGTTCTACCTCTGCAGCCCAGTCACGGCAAATAAACAACCTGAAGCATGGAGAATGGCAGCTCTTCTCTCCTCTCCTCTTTAATTTAGATATCCCGGCTTCACAGTTGAGGGAGATTAAAGAGTGTGGCACATGGGAGTCGGCCTACAGCCACTGCGAGAAGCCATCTGGGTACATATCGCAGCCTCTCCACCCGGTTTCCTCCCGCCCTCCAGTCAGAAAGAAAGGAGACCAGCTGTATGTACTGAAAAAGATGTCTGCAGTGAGAGGTGAGTACGGCAGAATGCATGTAGAATTTAAAGACACCTGTAATAAAGCAAGAAGACATGGAGTGCATTATCACAGTTAAGGGGGGTTGGAAGACAACATTGGAAAATTGTGCCAATACCTACATCCCCCCCCAAAAAAATGTACTTACAGCACACATACAATTCTCTACAGTCACCCACTTTATAACAATTAGGCCACAACTGCCCCCTTTTAGACACGTAATAGCACACCTCAACAAGTTGAATGGTTTGAGGTATCAAGCGAGTCACATGGCAAACCTTAACATGTTAGAACAAAGAGTTCACACCATGTCAGAATTGCCATAATTATGAGATATTCATTAAAAGCACTGATGCCCTCAAACCTGTTATTAGAACTTGTAAATTCTTAATTTTCTAAATTGTACCACCTGATCGATGTAACGCCATCTGGAAATGCTCAAAATGGCAGTGGTTTCGGCAATAATCTTAATTGTGCAAGAATCTGAACATAAATACAAGACATGCAATACAATTTAATGTAGCAGAGTTGAATAACTATTTAATAACAATAATGCATTTGTCATACATTACTTTGTAGTATTGTAGTTTTGTCTCTTGATTACTCATTACATTCATTTTGGAGTTAATAGTGTTGTCACAACACATTTATAATTCTGAGTCAGAGGATATGAACAGCTCCCAGATTGTCATTTAGAATCTACGGTAATAACGACATGGTGTTAATGCGGCAAAACATAATATGTGCATCACCGTGCAACTTATAACATGGCTGGTCCAATCAGATTTAAGAGCTAGAGCCATGTGACTGCATGAAATATTGAAAGCTTTTTCATCATTAAATATTCCTGACTTGACTGCATTAGCAGATCAGAGGATATTTTGTTTTGCAGTAGAAATCAATAACTGAATTTAGTGCAAGCTGAAAGTCTTCCAACTGGCTAATTCTTGTCCAGTCAATAGCCAGGAGTTTGGATAAATCCTCCCCTGCCAGCAGTAGGTAGAGAAAAAAAAATACGACTGGAAAAGTGACGAACTCGTCAAACAAGGGCATTTTCTAATATAGCCAAGTGTGGAAACAGACAAAAAAAAAAAGTAAAGCCAGTCTCCACTAGGGGTCAGCCAAACCACTGGCCATGCAAATTGGCTACTTTAATGGCAATAATGAAAGTGGAGAGAAGGAGGAGGAGAGCTGGCCTGGTTTCATTGTACTGGCAGAGCAGCAGTGACATGCTGCTATTTAGAGAGCTGAAATGAAGCCTACAGCACTGAACTGAGGCATGACAACTCTAGAAGCACCAGCCGTCCTCAAATGGGTCAGGATGGACTGAATATTAACTAGGCCCTGCGCACTAGTTCTTGCAGCAGCATTATGCTGAAAATTGAACATGCTTCTCTGGCCCTGCCCACGCTTTCTGTAACACACACACACTTTATGAAAAGGCAGGAAGAACAATGATTGCATTAAGATTATAAGAATATCCTGTAGGAAAGAGACTTTTTATGAGACCTTGTGGCTTTAACAAAGGGAGTTTGTTGATCCATAGTGCAACACTAAGGAACAAAACATGAATCTGAGTGTGTTCAACCCTCAGTTCACATTCAGATATAATGTCAGCATTTAATTTTCATTAAAGTTCAGCTACTAAATGTGTATCCATCCACCTATCTCCACACACATATCTACCTACTACCATATCTACCACATCCAATACCTACCAATATAAGTCATTAATCTGACATTGAGGATACAATAAATTACATTTAGCTGATGGCTTTGGTTTGACCATTTTTAGAGCAGTAACCATCTCTTGACACTGAGCAGAATGAATAAAACATCTCTGAAAGAGGATTTTAAAAAAGCATCAAATCTGAGGCAAACTTACATTGACACCATCTAATGCTGCCACCTAGTGGTATTGGAGTTGGACACTTGACGCTTATGAACACTGATGGGCCAGTTTTTAAAATATCAAGGTCTTAAAACACCACATCATCTCAGACCACATCTGTGAATGCATCTGTCATGTTTAATTACCTAATGACTTCCAAACAAGCGTGTAATAGAATCAAATTCTCCATTACAACAATAAATGACTCAAATGCCAATTGAGATAGACCTGAGACCTAAGAACCACTGCCATTTTGGCGCCAGCAGCTGCTGTCTAATTGGTCCTGTTTCCAAGAACTAGCAGCTACGGTGTTAGCATTTTACAGGAACACTGAAATTGCTATTGGCATCCTGGGCCTAATAAATCCAATAAAAGGCTCTTGCGAGAGGAAATCAGGAGAGGTTGTTGTGACAGTGCTTGTTATATGTGTGAACTCTGCAAAACTTTCCCCGCTAATTCTAGAATGTTGACCTTTTCTCTTCCTCCTCTCATTCCATCTTTTTTACTGCTGACTTTTTTCCTGATACATCGTTAACCATTAAGGCAGTCCTCTCAGCACATAAGAGAGACAAAAACGTATGCGTTTCCTCGCGTAATATATCCTGAGCCTTCCGACAATCCCGTCTCCTCAGTGCTCATTGTAGTCTTTACCGCTATTGATTTTTATCATAGATAAGGCAACTAAATCTCCCCGAGAGCTCTAAATCCTTCCTCTCTGCACCCAGAAGCATTAGCTTCCTCCTCATGCAACCGAAAATGATCTTTTCTTTCTGGTTTTGGGGGACCTCTGCCCCATCCGCTCTCAGGAGAAAAGCCTCAGTCACGGCGTATAGGGCAACAGATACAGGCAACAATACAGAATGAGGATGACTGATAGCAGCTAGTGCAGGCTTTGCATTTAAGACATACATGGGAATACTTGTGTTATTATTAAGTACATGGATATATACACATACGTATATACATATACACACATACAACACTGTAATTACATTGTAATAATCTATATATGCAGAAATTGATTATTGTAATGTAATTACACTGTTATAACAAACCTTATCTGTAACGCAAAATATGCCAGTTAAAAGTCATGTGGTGGTTTGACAACATAATGTGTAAACCGTGTGGTCATAATGGTTATGTAGAGGAAATCCACAACCATATGAGATTGCAGATCAAAGATATTGCCTGTCCCGCTTGTCATATACTTACAAAAGCTTCAATAACATGAACACGTTAAAATTTAAACATGGCTAGAGGAGACACATGGGTTTGTTCATATTTGTTTCAGGCAGTGCTCTGCATCATGCAATACATGTGGCTCTTCAGTGGGAATGTCTATTAAATATTAATAGCCGAGCAACAGATGGATTTAGATGTGCTTTGATCACCGACCTTTTTTGCCTCTGAAATTATTCTTCAATATATGTCTTCCCTGCATAAATGCAAACTGCAGCTAGACCAAGAGCTTCAATAGATAATTTACCATGACTCTGAGGAACAGACACACGCACAGATAATGTGACAGAGTGACTGACAGAAGCAGATTACGTAAAATGACATATGATAAACAGTGAGGCTGAAAGTATGATAAACATCTGTATTTCAGGACCACAGATTGTGTGTCATGTTACACAATCCATGACAACTAAAGATATAGCAAACAATTTTTTTGCTGCATACAGCATTGCGTGTCATCATACAAACAAAATATAATCTAACTAAGATTAAAAGCCAAAACTATGTCCATTATTTCTACACAGGTCATCATCCATATGGTCCCACATTTACCAGAGCAAAATACATTATTTTCCACATCAGCAGAACCTATGAGCAGTGTGATTTCACCAGAATGAATGGCAAATTTATGTAACCAGATATGTGACAAACCATCTTCCCACCTTAGACATTTAAATTGAATTTAAAGAGATAGTTCACATGCAAAAAATAAATATTTTGTGATTATTTATCCAGGTTATTCCAAATCTATATGTGCAAAAAATATATTTATTTCAGAGAATAACAACTTAAATTTTGGACCTTTGCTTTAACAAATCTATCATATGACTTAAATATAGCACACAATTCATTCTGACTATTTTTATGATGCTCTTTTTTGGAGCTTGACAGATGTGTTGTGGAAAAGAGTGTCAAGATTCTTCAAAATTCTGTGTTCCACAGAAAAGAAAATTACATGAACAGGTTTGGAACGACAGGGGGATGATTAAATAATGACAAAGTGTCAATTTATGAGTGAACTATTCCTTTAAGGCCAGGAATATGTTTGTTCAGCCTTCATTGTCCTGTCCAGTTGTTTTTAATTCAGTCCGGCACTTTGTTTTCTGGAATTCCGACTGTTTATTCATTAATTTCGCTGTTTGTGATGGATGTTGTTGGATACATCTTCAGAGTCAGAAACTAAAAGGTCATGGTAATTTGCAGCACTGCAAAAATCATATGTACAAAACAAACAAACAGAACATTTCTTTTTGAGTCAGCTGTTCGCCATGGACGTCATTCACCTATTATTTGTGTCCATGGAGACAGAGCTTAGAAGAACGTCTCTCTGCAAAGAGGACACGTGGATTTGTTGCTAGACGTGAACCATTTATACTGTGGAATGAAAGAAAATGGAAACAACCAGTCAGTGAGGAACGAGAAGCGCACGAGAACATTCAAGGCTGCACATTTTGCTGATTCTGAAATATCTGCAGAAATGGAGTAATAAATGGAGACGGATTGAGAACTTCACTGCGGAGGGGAAATAATTCGATTTCAAGAGCATTGGTGACCTTCTATAGGGTTTTAAACCTCTGATATGAGTGATGCAGTCACAGTACAAACAAGATTTTTTTTTTTTTACATTTTAAGAACAAAACTGAGCCCATTTACTTTCTGAATACAGTTGAATATCCTGTTTGACTAAGAAATACGTAAGTCAGATTACAGAAGTAAAATGGTGACCTGCAGATATTCTAGATAGTGATGTAAATTGGAAATTCGTAAAACAACATTAAATGCTCGAAACTACACTTACTACTCTCATTGTTTAAAAACATTCATCTAAAAATAACTACAATGGAAGAGCAAGAGATGGTGTATGCAGCACTCACCAGACAGACAGAGTGGAACTTCTTTTTGCAGGTACGGCAAGCTTTCTTTGGCAGCGAGTAATTGGATCCATGAATGACAGAGAAGCAGATCATACAGTCCTCCACCCCCTCAAAACGCTTGTCAACATTGTTCTTCCACAGCGACAGACCCTCCAGAATACTGCCATTCTACCAAACACAACACATCATCTAAATTACTTTGGGCATTTTCGGTTATTATTCATATATTAAGCACTATTTGACTGTTACTCTAATAAACCAGTCCAACTTGGCCAATTCCAACCTAAAGAGATAAGGTAAGATTTACAGTGGCTTCAAAAAGTATATGGGCACTTAAAGGTTCATGAAACCCCAAACCAAATTTTCTGAGATTTTATCAGAGGTATATGTGTTGAACACCATTGAAGACAATGTTAGCATCAGTTAGATTTAATAGCAGGGTTAAAATGGTTAAATTTGAGTTTTTTTCCGCTTTTTTTGTCTTCCGGGTTTAAAATCTTCATCGTGTCCACGTCACAGGCTGTGACGTGGCAGTGCACTGTGAGTGCGTTGATGACTCATCGGTGTCTCATAATTATTAATGAGACTGAGTTTTCATATCCTATGAGAAGACACTGTCTCTTAATTATTCATGACACCACGTGGATCTTTCCAGTGACATGTCAAACTGTGATATCGCGTAGTAGATGAGAGAGGCAATCATGGGACGCACGCAAGTGTTTGTTTTCGTGGTGCAAAAGTCCAATTGGGTTGAATATGTTTCCCCGCGATGCTGCCAGGGCTGGACTCTGGCTCTGGGCGGTTGGTTTTCCATCAACCACGGACACATCTAAACGTGTGTGCCGCAAACATTTTTCTCGAGAGAGCTTCGAGAATTGGAGAATGGTGGACTTCGCCTTGTTGACGACCAATGCAGGTTGCGTCTTGCGAGTGATGCGGTACCAAGTCCCGAGGACTTTTCTATCCCTTCAGAGGTGTGTGTGTGTGTGTGTCTAAAATGAGACGTCATCCACCTCCACAGAGCCATCTTTATTATGGGGGTTCAGGGGGCGCGTAGATCTAGCTATGCACGTAACGTTTTTTTTTAAGCGGAAAATTAATAATTTTCAAATATATGTATTTATAGTGTCTATATAAACAACTATATATTTTATAATAACATTATAATTATACATGTAGCCTACATTAATATGTTCTCAATAGAATTATGATTACTGTAGGCTAATATAGGAGGGCATTCAGTTACTTTTGAAAGGACAATAATAAAGTGTCGTATTTCATAAGACTTTAACTTTGCCAGCTATAAAAAAAATCTAGCATTTCCTCACGTTTTACCACTGCTTTTAGTGACAGTCGATATGCATGGGATACTGGCGATGACAGTGATGGCCTTACCACACCCCTTCTCACAGCCATCCACGCCCATTTAAGTTGCATTTTTCAAAAAGATTGTGAGCTAGACTTGAGCTGAAAGAGGGGGGTTTCATGACCCTTTAAAGAGAAATCTTTAACAAAAAAATTGTGTGGCTTAGATGTCCTTTTTGTACTTTTGGGGAAGCTATTTTAGCTTCTCTGTAACAGCACTGCCTTGCAGTATGACAGTGTTTTAGTGCCAGTTGTTTGTTTTTTTTCCAAGATTTTCAGAAGTTGTCAAATTAGGAAACTGAAGGCGAAATTTAGCATGAAGTAAGAATATTTATAGGTGAAAAAACAATATCCTGAGATAATAATAACTAATTAATTATTAATTTAAATTTCGCAAATGTTTCTCGATTCTTTTATACACCAGGTTCAAATGTTTGGGGTCATTATGATTTTTTTTTTTTAATTAATCATATTCATTCAGCAAGTATGTATTAAATTGATAAAAGAAATTGCATTTAAATTTAAATTACATTTTTATTTGCTGTTGTTTTGAACTTTCTATTCAAATGATGCTGATTTTTTTACTGTACAAATGTACAGTTTCCACAAAAACATGCAGCATAACTGCTTTCAATTTTGATAAGAAATGTTTCTTGAGCAGCAAATCATCATATTAGAATGATTTCTGAAAGATCATGCGGCACTGAAGACTGGAGATATGATGTTAAAAATTCAGCTTTGCCATGACAAGAATAAATTACATTTTAAAATATATTCAAATAGAAAAAAAGTTTTTCACTGTAGGGCGGCAGTGGCTCAGTGGTTCATGTGGGTTGTCTACAAACCGGAAGGTTGGTGGTTCAATCCTCGGTTCCACCTGACCAAGTGTCGAGGTGTCCATGAGCAAGACACCTAACCCCAGCTGCTCCCGACGAGCTGGATGGCGCCTTGCATGGCTGCCGTCGCCCGTCGGTGTATGAATGAGTGTGTGAATGGGTGAATGTGAGGCAAATGTAAAGCGCTTTGGTGGCCATTGGGTCTGTGAAAGCGCTATATAAATGCAGTCCATTTGCCATTTAACAATATTACTGTTTTTACTATATTTTTTTATCATATAAATGCAACCTTGAAAAAAGAAAAAAAAATCTTACTGACCCCAAACTTTTCAATGGTAGTCTATAAATCTTTTTTATTAAACTAAATGTTATTACCGTTTTTTTTTTATTAAAAAGTATATACAGAGAACATTTATACTTCCTGTACCTGGTGTGTGAGGTACGTGCTGAGCTGAAGCATCCAATTGCGCCACTGCTGAACGGCCACACCCACTCTCCGCCCACTCTCCACTGAGATAGACCCGAGGGGATAATTCTGAGGCAGCTGAATCACCAGCTCGATGAAGATATCGTCGACAGAGTAAGTAGCGATCACCTCCCGCGTGGCAGAACGCGCTTTCACCTGTGAAGGCAAAACACATTAAATCACAATGCAAAAAAACACTTAAGCACAGAGCACATCCTTTTCCTGAACTAAACTTTCCACCCTGGCTTACCATCATGTTCTCAAAAGTCTGGGTGCTGGACTGCACAGAGGCGATCTCCTGCGCAGACAAGACGCCGCTGACGTACTTGCTGGTGAATTTATCCACCGTGCTGAAGACACGTTTCTCTTGGCTGTTCCACCACAGACGGACCATTGCGGGCAAGTCTTTCAGCGCACCATAGTACACAGAGCATGCCAGATGGGGAACCTCAAACTGCAGACCTTCAGTTTCTACAACACACACACTTAGTGAGATGATCTCAGATATGAGAGAAATGCACAAATGTTATAAATCATTGGATGTCAACTGATCTGTTGGTCTGTTCTGATCAGGTCGCAGGTTGCAGGCTGTGTTGGTATTGTTAACTAAAACTGTTTTCAATAATTTAAATAAAGCCAAAATAAAACAAAAATGAGATGAAAAACAAACTGAATTTTTTTTTTTAATTAGAAATGTTGCTGAACAACTGAAACAAATAAGTTTAAATGGTAACACTTTATTTTGATGGTCCCTTTTGAACATTCTGTTGACTATAGGCAACTTTTCAACTACATGTCAACTAACTCTCAGTAGATTATTAGTAGAATGTCTGCTTAATATCTGCTAACTCTTTATTGTTATGGTCCCCAAACAGACATTCTACTAACTATAAGTAACTTTGCAAGTATATGTCAACTTATTCTAACCCTAACCCTACCAATCTACTAATACTCTACTAACACTCTAATGAGAGTTAGTAGACATGTAGGTGCAACATTACTTAGTCAACAAAATGTGTTAAAGGGACCATCAAAATAAAGTGAAACAGTTTAAATTCTAAATGACTAAAACTTAAATAAATTAAAAATTAAAGATAAATAGAAATATAAAAAAACACTAAAAATGAACTTACTAAAAAACGTACAAAAACTAAAATAAAAATGACAACTTTGATAATTTGTTTTAATAAATACTAAAATAGTATATAAATAATACTAACAAACAATAAAATATGTGCGCCTAGTTACAATACTAAATAAATACATTTATTTTTTAATTAATCATTTAAATAAAATAATTTTCATTAATATATTTATTACATTTTATCAACATTTTTGTTTGCAATAAATTATTTTGGCAGTGAGAACCACAGTTATTAATGATCTGCAACATACTCTGAGGGGAGAGAGACAAAGTCTCAGTGAAGAAGGTTTTTGGTTCTTTGCTTGAGGGTTCTGCTGGCTGTCCGGGCACTGATAGGTTCTCTGGCATCAGACGGAACAGGTGGAGCAGTAGTTTATGAAGAGAACGACTCTTTTTCAGGTGCAGAGAGTATTGAGCTCGCAGCTGAAACACAAAGATAGATGTTTTCACTATGCAAAAGACATCTTGCTTGCGTTACAAATAAGTACTGTGCCCTTTCTTCACATTTACACAGGATCAGAAAGGGCTTGGGTGATGAAAGCTGTGACATTATGACTCAATATTTCTGTCACGATGAAATGGGCATGTCTGAACGTCAATTTAACCTCTAAAATGTCTGTGTTAGAAGTGTATCAGAAAGGATGAGGCAATGATTGACAGCTTTACAGAGCATTATCACTGATAATTAACTCACATGAGATGAAGAAGCCTTGAAGAAGGTAAAAAGGAGTTTCCAGGACAGAAGATATCCCAGAATGCAGCAGTGCTCCATGCTGAGGGCCTGTACCACTGCAAACTCACCCACTTGCACACCACCTAGAATATTCTCCAGTAGCTCTTCTGTGGCAGAAAGGATGTTCATCAACGCTGCCGGAGGAGACCTGCAGGAAGTGCACACAGTTAGTCTCCTAGATGTAGGACATGGGCGACCATAAAACTTGTGGGTGGATGTATGGATGGATGATTACATAACACAATAAATAATTAATAAATAATAATAATAATATAAAAACATAAATTTACAGTGAAAAACAGTAAAAGGACATTACCAGAGGTCACATATGATTATACTTTATATAAACAATTTATTTTCTTTATTATTCTTATAATTAATGTACATTAGGGTGTTTTGTTTTATTTAGATATGTTTTATTGCATTATTTTAGATATTGTACATTTTAGTTGATACAATAAATACATGTATTAATAAACAATAAAAAATGATTAAATAAATTATTAAAAAATAAATAGCTGATAAAAGTAATTAAATAATAATAATAATAATAATAATATGGATGGATGGATGTCAAAATATCAAACCAAATGGCATATATTTAGCATTAAATGTACAAAGACTTTTGGGGGCCACTCTGTGTGTGTGTGGTTCAGGTAAACCCTATGTTATGGGGGTGGCAAAGAGGGCAATATCCAAAATCCTTGCCCTTGTGGGGATATTTTTTGGTCCCCATGAGGAAAACAACTTATAAATCATATGGGTAGGTTTAGGGTTAGAATACAGATTGTACAGTACAAAAAAATCATTATGTCTATGGAAAGTCCCCATAAAACATGAAAACCCAACGTGTGTGTGTGAGAGATAGAGATAAAGAGAGTGTGTGTGTGTGTGTGTGTGTGTGTGTGTGTGTGTGTGTGTGTGTGTGTGTGTGTGTGTGTGTGTGTGTGTTTTTGTGATATATGAGGACACAAATGTGTATAATGACATGCATATTACACTGGTATTACAACTTACACGTGATATATGAGGACATTGCATGAGTCCTCATATTTCAAATAGCTTAAAAAACATAAAAAACAATGTTTTTTTTTAAATGTAAAAATGCAGCATGTCTCCTGTGATGGGTAGGTTTAGGGATAGGGGCAGTGTAGGGGGATAGAATATACAGTTTGTCCAGTATAAAAATCATTACGCCTATGGAATGTCCTCATATATCACAAAAACAAAGCTGTGTGTGTGTGTGTGTGTGTGTGTGTGAAAGTGCATCGTCATGTGTCTTACAAGCATGGTTCTTCTCCATCTTCGTCCTCAGATTTAGCGCTGGCACTCTCACTGTCACTCTCTGGCAACAAAGGCATCACCCTGTAAGACACGAACACATCACTCACATTTCTCCTGAGACGACTTGACGTCATCGCTGAGGCTCTTTCAAAGGCTTGTAATGGACATAGCATTACAGCAACAGCACAGAGGAGATCTCAGCTAACCCCCTGGAATATAAAACTGCTTCTCTCCCAGAGGCTTGTGCTCTCAATGAAGCATATTTAATTAAAGCCAAAGCGTAACGCATTGTGGATTAAACTTTTTCCGTACAATATGACCTTAAGGCTATGCAAAAACTGCCCGTCCCTTGGAGTATTCATTTCAATTACATTTACAATTATGTTCTCGACAGACACTATCCCACCAAAGCAACTTACAGGAAAGTCCATTATAGTGTTTCTGCAGACGCTGCAGAACAGGTAGAAAACAAAGATAATGTCTAGGTGGTGAGACACATACTGACTCCTTAATGCGGTATTCTACACTTACCATTTTATTTTTTGCCCTAAAGTCCAATTATAATGTTAAACAAGTTTTCTTGCAGCACAAACAGTTGTTATTTAGTTTAACATGACCCTTTAGTATTAAACGGGTTGTTTTTGCTACTGTACCTTTAAGACTTCGGTCATATGTTAATGTGCTCATAGTTGCTGATCATGTAAAAGGGCCTTTAGAGTATATCTATGTATTATGTTGAACTAAAAGTAAGTCTTAAAGTCTTTAAGGGTTAGTTCACCTAAAAATTTAAATTCTGTCAGTAATTACTCACCCTCATGTTGTTCAACCCCGTAAGACGTTCGTTCATCTTCGGAACACAAATTAAGATATTTTTGATTAAATCTGAGAGCTGGATCACTCCTCCATAGGCTTCTTAAGGGATCGAAGCTGGCCGGCCCAAAAGTTATGAAAGACATCGTTAAAATAGTCCGAGTCAAGTCAAGTCAAGTCAAATATATTTATATAGCGCTTTTCACAATACAGATTATATCAAAGCTGCTTCACAGTATCAATCAAAACAACCTAACAGTGTTTGTTTATTACTGGAAAAAGACATCCAAGTTTGGTAGAGCTGATCAGTGGTATGATGGGTCATTTAATTTGAATATCCCCGAGTGACTACAGTGGCTCAACCTTAAGTTTATCAAGCGACGAGAATACTTTTTGTGCGCAAAAAACTAACAAAAATAACGACTTTATTCAACTAACCATTTCCTTCTCTGTGGGCCGTGATATTTCACGTAGTGATATTGCGCAAAGCTTCTAGGTTGCACGTCACACGCAGGCTCACTATTGGCCGACGCTGGTCATGTGTGTGATGCGTGACGTACAACCTAGAAGTTTGCGTAGTTTCACTACGTGAAATATCACGGCCCACATAGAAGGAAATGGTTAGTTGAATAAAGTCGTTATTTTTGTTTGTTTTTTTGCGCACAAAAAGTATTCTCGTCGCTTGATAAACTTAAGGTTGAGCCACTGTAGTCACTCAGACTATTTTAACGATGTCTTTCATAACTTTTGGGCCGGTCAGTTTCGATCCCTTAAGAAGCTTATGGAGGAGTGATCCAGCTCTCAGATTTAATCAAAAATATCTTAATCTGTGTTCCGAAGATGAACGAAAGTCTTACGGGGTTGGAACAACATGAGGGTGAGTAATTACTGACAGAATTTTCATTTTTGGGTGAACTATCCCTTTAAGTTAAAGAAGGTAATAGAGTCTGTACTTGTGCAGGATGTGGTAGACAGCGAGCTGTAACGGGCGGGCTTTGAAGAGCAGCAGGGGCGAGAGGGTATTCAGCAGGGTCTGGAGGGGCTCTGGCAGACTGCTCCTCTGGTCGGCTACAAACCGAGGAGGAAGTTTATTGTGTGTGAGCAGCTCCACGGGGATGTACGTAAGAGCCTCCCCCATCGCCCTCAACACTGGCAGGGGGAACAAAGGGTCATCCGGCTCTGTAAAGTCCGCTGAGACAAAAGACATTTCAAGCAGTCTGTTAACCAAAAGACATCATGTTTCCATTATATATCAAAAGTGTAGATGAGTTTTAATTACACTTTAAAAAAAAAAATGTGTATAGAAAAATAAACAAAAAATTCTGGAAAAAAAAAACGGCAATTTTTTTTTATTGTAAGTTACCTTACCATCAACTGTATTGTGAAAAACTGTAATTGGTTTATTATAACATTATATGCAATTTTATTGTAAAATACTGTCAAATGTATACTTTTTCCAAGTAGAAACTATGAATAACCATACAATTTATGATGAAAAACATAAGGACATTCCGAGAATTTAGGGTGTTTTGTGTTCTTCAGGTTATATTTATTGCAGTTTAGTGTCATGTGTGTTACATGATGATGTTTTGCCTATAATCCATCATAGACAAGTATTGGCCATGTTGGTAACACATTACAATAAGGTCTCATTTGTTAACATTAGTTAGTTAATTAGTTAAATAATATGAACTACCAATGAGCAATAAATTTTTACAGCGTTTATTAACCTGTTGATGTTAGTTAATAAAAATGTTTAAGTTTGTTCACAGTGCATCAACTAATGATAACAGATATACAACTTTTGATCCTAAAAATGTATGCTGTGATTAACATTAACTAAGAATAATAAATGCTGTAGAAGTATTGTTCATTATTAGTTCACATCACGGTAACTAAAGTAGTTAACTAATGTTAACAAATGAAACCTTATCGTAAAGTGTCGCCAGCATGTTTTAACGAAAGGCCGCTTACGATTCATCATGTGGGTTTCTATTATTCCACCCGTATTGCTATCAGTAAATTGTAAGGTAAATTATAGTAATGGTATATTATTAATATTTTATCATTTTATGAAATATGCAGTTATAGGTTGTAAAATATACCAATATGCCATCCTGTAATACCAGAAAAATTGTCACCATATTTTTCATATTGCAACATAATAGTTTTTTATCGTAAATTTAACAGGATATTTTTATAGTGATAGCATGCTTGTGCCTTAGCTGTTAGACAGTTTAGACGGTTAAATCTCAGAAAAGTTGCACCTTTATATGTTTTCAGTCATATTTTTGAGATGGCATGTCTGAAACATGAATTTCCTGAAATATTTACATTTCCAGTCAAAAGTTTGGGTTTGATGAGATTTTTTAAAATGTGTCCGTTTCCAAAAAAATATTAAGAAGCACATCACATCTATTTTCAATGTTGATAATAATAATATATTTTATAATCAAATCAGCATATTAGAATGATTTTTAAGGATCATGTGACTGAAGACACTTAAGATATAAAACAATTAAATTAAATGTCAAATTAAAATCATTTTACAATATTACTGTTTTTACAAACTGTAAAACTGAATGCTAGTGTAACTACAAACCAAACATTTTCTTGTTCAACCACAAAAGTTCTTGTTAAGGTGACTCACTGGGGATCTTAATAAGCAGTGGGAGCAGAAGGTTGTGAATTCCCTCCAAAAAGAACTCCTTCCACTCTGAGGTCAGCTCTGGAAGAAGTTGCTCCACACCAGCAGGGGGCGATGTGAAAAACTCACTCAGCCTCACAATCAGCTCACAGTTTGCACACACAAACAGCTGAACCCATGGATTCCAGAATACAGCGGTGTTCTCACTGGTAGTCTGTGAAAAAGACACAAACGACATTTGCTTGGATTGCCGTCCGTAAGCAGAACGGTTCTCAGATTAGGCGTGATTATTTATAAGATCAGCCATAAAGCATCATTTGATTTTGCACCGGGGTAGAAATATCTGGAAGGGACAGAGAGTGTGACACTTTGAGTCTGTATATTGCATTAAAAACAGTGAATGAAGATGGAAAGAGAAATATCACCTCAAGCCATGCCAGCATTGAGCAAAGCAGGAGATCCCAATGAGTGTTTCCGAAGACTGTGGGAGAATGATCCACCATCCAGCACAGGAAGCGCATCATTTCTACTGCCAATGAGAGCCCTGCAGCGGAAACCTTTCCAAGGTCACTGCAAATGGACACAAAGAAAGGAGAATAGATTATTAGACCCTGCGTTATATGAATCAATGGATATAAAATAAGACTGTAAAAACAATGAACTTGAATAGTTTGTTGCTTTTTGGCATTTATTTTATACTTATACTTTATTACTTGTTAATTTTATATTGAAAGATATAAAGAGGGCATAGGAGATATTTTTTGTTGATTTGTTTGTTGTTGTTTTTTCTAAAAGCATTCTAAGCCAAATGTTTATTTCAAGTTGCATTAATATAATTAATTCATTTTATATTCATTTCATATTTTGCATTCTTTATTTTGAAAGATTTAAGGTGATAGGAAATAGTTTATTTAGGGGGCTGTAGGGACTACAGATGAAAAATAGCCTGTATGGCTAAATCTGGCTCATTTACATGATGGACTTGAGTGCTCATGTTAATTAATGTGCATTGTCCCTTTTAAAATAAATACATTCAAAATTCAAAATAAAATTTCTGTATTTCAGTATTTGTTATTTCTCTGAAAGCATTGTAAGAATTTCTTTATATATTATTATTATGTATCATTTCAAGTTGCATCACATTCTTGATGCATCTAAAATGGTTATGGTAGCTGTTTTTATTACTGCTAATTATTTTTCAAATTTCATAGCTTAAAGGCCCACTGAAGTGCCTATAAACGAGCAGCATTATTCAATGCGTTGATGTAATTTCCACTGAAACAGGAAGACAGGGCGGGACATAATAGAACAGCTCCTTCCCCATTTTAAAATAGCCAATAGCATTTTGTTTATATCAAGGCTCGGCCAGAGCTGTTGAGTTTGGTAAATCTGCAGTTTCCTCCTAATCTCTAAACGTTTCTCCTCCTAATCTCCTCCATATCGCTTTTAAATATAGCATTCTGTGCAGAATTCAAATGGGTCCGATACGTTTTCTCGTCTGCGACGACTTGCGCACATGATCTTCTTCGTGCTATCATGTCTCTGGACCGAGCAGACTGTGCGAGCTGCGGCAGTTCATGTGACACTAACGTGAAACCAGACTTCATTCGCCCCGATGGAAAGCATATTTAAAGTGTCTGAATAGTAAATGTGTGAACAAGTGACTGATTTCAGCTGCAGCTTCAGCATCTATTTATAATGTAGAGGGCAGGAAGCTTCCAATTCTAGAGAGCATTTGATTGGACAGAAAATCTGATGAGAAGCTGCTGAATTGATGTCATCAAAATCATTGATCCATATTGGCGGAATTGAGACTAAGTTTTGAATGCTTATATCTTCTAAACGCAAATGTTGTCATTATTTTGGAGCACTCTAGCTTATAGATAACAGTAAGGCTAACAAATTCATACTAATTTTTGAAATACATTTTTGATTTCATGGACACTTTAAAATGTCCTACTCATTATAAACAAAGAATTTATTTAATCAAGCTCCAAAAACAGCTTGTTTTGATATTGGGTGTGACACCTGTGACGTCACAAGTGTGTAAATACATTTGCCTCAAGAGCAAGAAATCGACAAATAGTTTTAGATAATCGCACTATAGGCTGGGTATATATTTGTTTTTCGTGCAATAACCTTCATAACATTATTAGTGAACCTCAAGGAACATATTAAATTAATAAATAAAAATCCATGTCAAGACAGCTTTAAAGATATATATCTGTATTACTCCTGGAAAGATTAAATAAAGTGGGCAAATAAAAAGATGTGGAAAGAAGAGCAGAAAGTCTTGAATCCTGCATCACGGCCACAGCTCTGACATAATAAATATGACTGCCATTGGGGTCATCCTCATTACAGAGATACACATAGCTGAGGCATGGGTTCACCTGTTGAAGAGAAACCACTCCTCTCTACTGTTCCTCCATTCTGCAATTGTGTCTACGACAGCCAGCAAGATCTCTTCCTCCACATCCGTGTCGGCCTGTAGACAGCAGAGCAGCACGGCCAGACAGCCTCGCACACCTACACACACACATTATTTTTTCACATTAGTTAAGTAAGTGAGATTGGTGTTGCTCAGCCTATGTGACTCATCATGTGCAGTATGGATATGATCAGTATCTCACTATCGATGCAATCCTGCTCTCCATCCTGCCAGTTAAGGAGCTCTGCGACACACAAGGCAATGAGGGATTCTCTCTCTTCACTGGCTAGAAATGGACACAGCGCCTGCACCGTACTCACACTGTGTTCTGAGAGGGGAAAGAAACTGACACACACAAACAAGTCACAGAATGATCAGGAACATCACATCCTGGCTAGGCTGACATTTCTCACCAAAACACTGTGGTAATGGCCAGCAGTAATCATGTGTATATGTATAAGCTGACTGGCTGAGGTTCCTCTGGGTCCTGAAGAGGGTCACATTCACACATTTCTCACATCAGCGTATGCTGTTTAACACATTACTGCTGCTGCAGCAGCCTAAAGAAACTACTAGTATTGTCTCAGAGGCCAGTGCTATGAGTATTTAATCCGCTATTACAGTTACAGACACTACCATTCAAAAGTTTGGGGTCAGTACGATTTTTTTTTTTTAAAGGAATTATTACATTTATTCAGCAAGGATGCAAGAAATTGACCAAAAAGTTTATCTTTGGTTATATTAAACAGCACAACTTTCAACATTGATAATAATAAGAAATGTCTTTTTCTTATTAAGCACAAAATCAGCATATTAGAATGATTTGTTAAATTTATTGTTAAGAGGAAAACCCCTTGAGATGTGACATCTCGTTTTCGAGGGGACCTCAAGAAAAACATACTTCACATACATACATACATACTAAAACAAAGACAAAAGCTCTCCATCACACCAAATGATTTTAGAATGATTTCTGAAGGATCATGTAACACTGAAGACTTGAATAATGATGCTGAAAATTCAGCTTTGCGTCACAGGAATAAATTACATTTTAAATAATATGTCACAATATTACTGTTTTTAAGAATTTTTGATCAAATAAATGCAGCCTTGGTGAGCATGAGAGACTTCTTTCAAAAACAAAGAAAATTTCATACCTTTCTACATTGCCGTATAAGCCCTTGATGTCACTTGGGTCCATTTCGCTGTTCTGCATATATTTTGCCAGAGATAGTGACCAGAGAGAGCCTTCTTCTTGTGACCTGTGATTAAAAAAGGATAAAAGGGTCTAAAACTTTGCTTTCTAAAAACCAAATTAAACATTTATACAAAATCTAGGCCATAACTAATGAAAATTCACATTTCTGAAAGAAGAAAAAAATACACATGAATGAGCTCACCTTGTGAAAAGCATGTCTATAAGAGTGGTTTTGATCAGGCTGTTGTTGAGGATTCTCTGCTCTAAACTCCAGGACTGCAGCAGTTTATGATATTCAGACACCATGAGGGGTGAGAGCTCCATTTCTTCACACCACTGAAGTCCATAGAAAATCTCTGGAACTACACAAAACAAATATTTGTAAAAACCGATTCCATGAATTCTTCAGTCCAAAAATGTTTTAGTTGTAAAATAGTCTAAATATTTTACCAGATTAGAAAGAAAGAAAAGAAAAGAAAGAAAGACAGACTTTTATTCAGCAAGGACGCATTAAATCAGTATATTAGAATGATTTCTGAAGGATCATGTGACACTAAAGACTGGAGTAATGATGCTGAAAATTCAGCTTTGCATCACAGGAATTAATTACATTTTAAAATATATTCAATTAGAGAATTGTAATAATATTTTACAATATGTTCTTGTTTTACTGTATTAAAATATATACATTTATATATATTATTCTACATTTTTTATTTTACAAAAACAATGCTACCAAGAGCTAAACAAATAAATGAGTCTCACCTATGTGTTTGAGATCAGGAATTTCAGAGAAGTCTGCCTCCACCTGCAGGTCCTCAGGTGAAGCTGCAGTGAGGATGATTCTGCCCAGTAATGCACTTACACACAGGTGCGTGGGAAGCCGGTTAGACGCCCTGAACTTCCAAATGTCCATGCAGAGTTTTTCACCAGTGACTCTCAGACGACCACAAAGCAGAGGGTGTCTCACCCACTGCAGAGATGCACGAAGACAGTTACATAAAAACAATGACAAAGAAATAGTATGTTGAGAAACTACCTTCTATACTTCAATTATTTCCTCTCAAAATGTGTGAATGTCATTTGTGATTGTCTGAGGACCTGAGGGGGCAGTGCCCGTCTAATGCGGCTCCACTCCTCTTCAGTAGGAGCAAGACAGCAGATAAACTGAGACAGGAGACAGCTGGTCTTCTGGGCCGAGCCGATTGTCTGAGTCAGACTCTCTACAGCTTGCACCAGAACCTGCAGGCTGACATCAATAACAGAAGACATTTAGACAAGCTACCACACAATTCATTCAGCCATCCAAACTGTTTAAAAACCAAAAAAGCAACAGCTTTTGGAAAAAGCACATTTATCTAAAAATGTTTAGAGAAGGCCAAACCTTTTGACTGTCAGTGGTGTGGTGAGCAACTGACTCTTAACCCAGAGAGCAATGTTGTGGAGGAAGGTACCCTTTGTGACCCCTGCGCCCAGGTGAGTGATCAATGATTGAATGCCGGCAGTGTAGGCGTGCTGAAGCTTCAGAAGAAGAGCATCTGCCGGAAAACACCACACATGCATTTAAAAGAAATGCGCACAAATGAGGAGACAACATTGTGTAATATTTCAAGGTATTCAGAATTCATTAAAGCTGTTTTTTCACATAAACTACAATTAAACGCTTTCTTCAGTCTTCACCTGAGAGGCGGGTGATGGTTTGGTCTTGTGCACAAAGCTGGAAAACAGTCATAAGCAGCTCCTCTGCAGACGCCAGCAGCAGGCAGCCCTTAACTGAAGAAAAGAAGGTGGCAGCCACATCAGAGATGAAAGTGACCAGCGGCTCCATGTTTCCGGCGTCAGACATGCCCTTTGCTTCTGACAGGGTGGCGTGAAGCTTGTCAATGATCTGCTCGACATGCACCTTACCAATAAGAGGCTCTGCAGAGAGAGGGTGAAACAGTATTATTTTCTTTGAAGAAACCCACCTGTTGAAAAAGTCTTTAAGTCAATTTAACTCCCATAATGAGACATGCACAACTGTTCAAAAGTTTGGGGTCAGTGAGTTTTTCTTTTTATTCAGAGATGATAGAAAATAAATAATGGCAGTAAAGACATTTATAATGTTACAAAATATTTCTATTTCAAATAAATTCTGTCCTTTTTGTATGGGAGAGAGAACTCTCCTGGTTGGTTTATAGTCCTTATTGGAATACAGTTAGGTTAAATCTCTGCCTTACCTCTAAAAACCCCTCGCACATTCTTATTCATTACAAAACTGTACACAAAATGTATTGTACCCCATATAAGCGATACTTGATAAAACTCACATCAAATTATAATTGCAGTCTGTGTAATAATAATTCTAAAGGTACTTTTTTGCATATGTTTTGGGATTGTTTGGTCATATCCCATTTCTGGAAACATGTAGTTAAAGTGCTAAACAACATCACACACAAAGTTGCAGTTTGACCTCGATGTTTGTCTTTTGTTGCTCAATGATAGATCTTCTAATAAGTTTACATTAGTTCAGAGAAGACTAATGTCTGGCTATTTTACAGCAATGGTTTACACCTGACATGAACCTTATTTCATAATATAGTTTGTTTATAATGCAGCGCTGCAAGGGTTAATGGGACTAGAATACATACTGTTACCTATTGGAGTAAAATAGCCCAAGCTTTAAAATAATTATTTTTTATTGAAGATTTGTCAATCTGTGTGATAATTTGCTGCCATGGTTTATTTGTATGTTCCTTTTAAATTTCCCTGAAGTATTATTTACTGTACCAAAGGTTTTTTATTTTTGTTGTATTTTTGTTATTTTACCATTGTAATTATTATTATTTTAAAAAATATATATATAATATCACAAAAGCAATTCTGTCAAGAAAGAATCCTAATAATTAAAAATTAATCCTAGTTAAAGAATCCTGAAAACAAGTATCATTCCACAAAAAAAATTAAGCAGCACAACTGTTTGCAACATTGATAATATTAAGAAATATTTCTTAAGCAGCAAATCAGCTTATTAGAATGATTTCCGAAGGATCGTGTAGAATGGAATAATGATGCTGAAAAGTATTTCTATATTACTGTTTTACTGAATTTTTGTTTAAATATATATGCAGCCTTGGTGAGCATAAGGACTTATATTTAAAAATATTACCAAACCCCAAACTTATGTTTCTTGTAAATAAGTAAATAAAGGTCAATTTTGTCTTTAACTCCAAAATGTGGTAGATCAGGATGTAGTTGTTGAGTAGTAATGATATAAATACTTGCCATTATTGTGCTGCTGTGACAGAGCGAGGCTGATGAGAGGCCAGCCGTATACATGATGGGATGATGAAGAAGGAGATCCATGCAGACCCATCACACACAGCTCACCAGCCAGACCCACCAACCTCTCCCCTAACACGGGACCCCTCAGCCAGCCAATACACACCTCCAAACGGACAGGGTCTGCACATGCCTGGTGTCATGAAAGTCAAGAGAATATTTAGCCCATTTTTGTATCTATATAAAAAAAAACCTGTTAAACGTAAAGCTAAATGTAACCTAATTGAAAAACCCCTTTAATAAAAACACATACCTTTTCAATAAGTTGAAGAGTCACGTTCCAATTCAAATCCCTCTGTTATGAAGAGACAAATAATTGATTATTGATGTTACATATGTAAAAGTGAAAATGTCTCTTGATGGTAAATGTGAAGAAAAAGCTTAGCATTTAATTAAAAATATTTGGGGACATTAACATTTTTTTAATGTTTTTGAAAGAAGTCTCTAATGCTCACCCAAGGCTGCACTTATTTGAATATTACTACAAATATTATTAAAATAACTGAAAACAGTCTGAATTCTTCTGAAATCTTTTGAATATAAAAATATTTTGTAACTTTACTGTCCCTTTTGGTCAATTTAATGAATTCCAGCTGGGAAACAAAGTGTTCATTTATTTTGAAATCTTACTGACCCCAAACTTTTCAACGGCAATGTAAATGTCTTTTTTTTTAGCAAATATAAACATACATTTCTAAAAATAAAAATGTACGTTAAGTCTGGTAAAGCATAAAAAAGCCATATTTGTTAAGCTCTTTGTATAAATGTCATATTATATTATATTATATTATCCCTGTAGCATCCCAATGTAGGTATCTTACACTGATGTGGTTGAGGATCAGTGTCTTGTCATCACTGGAGCTGCAGCACTGCAGGGAACTGAAAATCATGTCCACCAGGAAGTCAGTGTCCTTCCTGCCATCCTGCTTTAACCATAAAGCCACTCTCTGCAGGAGGAAGCGGACAGCTGCATTCTCAGCAAGTGGCCTGAGCTCCGGCCCCATTTCAGGCTTCATTTCCTCTGGCCTCAGCAGCACCTGGAACACCTTAGGGCTCGGGAACGCCCCGAGCAGCTGAGACAAAAACCGCAGGTGCCTTTCCGACTCTCGTTCACTCACGTACACCATGTTGAGCTCCGCCAGCTGGCACACCAAATCCAGCAGGTGTCCATTTCTCAAGGGACGGTCTTGTTCCTCCACTGCTGGAGCTTCCATCGGAGGTTCCTCCCCTTGGCCTCTTTCTTCCTGGTCTGTGATGCAAATTTTCACAGATTTCTTCTTCTTGGTCCGTTTACTGGCACTGTTCGGGTTATGCATAATCTGCAGGAGCGATGCAATGCCCTCAAGGGCAGTTCGCTCAGCCTCCTCGCAGTCCACGCAAGTTGTGCACAAACGACCCAGACCCTCCCAGAAGTCTGACAGCAGTCTTTGAAAGGTGGAAGGCTCTTTTCCAGAAATCCGCTTTTCCCAGGAAAGCAGCATGTCTGAGACCTGAGGAAACAGAGGACCCGTCTGCAGCGATGCGTTTCCCAGAGCTCTGTCAATCAATGGCAGGAGCTGTGGAGAGAGAGATCAATGCATGAGACATCAGCATGTTTAGAGAGATCTTTTGCTTGTGACCCACAGACCTGTTCTGAGATCAGCATTTTCTGGATGCTTCTCTGCTCCTGCTCGTCTCCGGCGTTCTGCAGGATGATAAACCGCAGACACTCCATCGTGGCAAAAATGATGGCTGCACTCTCTGAGGGACTGGACGTGGCACGCTCACTGGACAATCTGGACCAAACATAGCAGCATAAATAAAAACTGAGTGTAATTATAATACAAAGCACAATAATTAATGTTATGTATTCTGAATTAAAAACATTTTGCATTTATAAAATGACACCATCCTGTTTAATACTAAGGGTTAAGGGAGGATATATAATTTAAGCAGGCAATTCTGCTGCAATGACATGACTACATGAATGAATGATTATACAAATAAGAATATGACATTCTTTACCCCTGAATGACGGATGTGAGGAATGTTCTAGAGAACTCCAGGTCGGGCTGTGTGACCTCTGCTGGCAGTTTGCTTATAAATGGCAGCAGGTTTGGATGCAGAGATGTTGCAAGACCTCGACCTCCTTCTTTAAGAAGCACCCAGAGCTTCGGCATCATGCCTTTCCTGGCACTGACATGCGTCCAACAGTTCTGCACAGAGGTCACATGATGGCAATGAATTTGAATCACCACTGACAATAGACAACAGATAAAGGTGCAATAAAATTTCTATTTGAGTGCAAAAGATTAACACATTGATTTTAGAATGAATGTGGGTTTATGATGTGAGATAAGATCATATTATACATTATTTTTGTTATTATTTAAAATACATTTTTAAATAAAAATTATTTATTTACACCGTTCAAAAGTTTGGGGTCGGTAAGATTTTTTTTAATGTTTTTGAAAGTATCATATGCTCACCAGGGCTGCATTTATTTGGTGGGGGAAAAAAGCAGTTTCAAACGTAAAATTACTTTTATTCCTGTTACGGCAAAGTTGAATTTTCAGCATCATTTCTCCAGTCTTCAGTGTCACATGATCCTTCAGAAATCATTGTAATATGCTGATTTGCTGCTCGAGAAACATTTCTTATTATTATCAGTGTTGAAGAAGGTTGTGCTGCTTAATATTTGGGATTTTTTTTTTTTTTTCAGGGTTCTTTGATGAATAGAAAGATTCAAAAGAACAGCATTTATTTGAAATAGAAATCTTTTGTAACATTTTAATTGTCTTTACTGTCATTTTTGATCAAATTAATGGATCACAGCTGAATAAGTTAATTTCTATATTTCTTTATTAATTTCTCTTTTTAAAATCTTACTAACCCCAAACTTTTGAATGGTAGTGTATATAATATTTTTTATTATATGAGTCTCACATCAACACAGGACAGAATATGGAGGACCGCCTCCCACAAAGGAGGCAGCACCATCGGGTCTGTGTCGTCGATTGACAACAGCACCGCAGAACACGCTCGGGCCGCTTCTGCCTGGATCAGCTGGGGTGTTTGTTCACACATGGAGGCAATGAGCTCAAAGTATGCCCCTCGAACCTAGAACAAACAAAAGACAACTATGAATCCCATTAAAACATCTGAGGTGAATCAAAGAAAACAGCTAACAAATAGCACAAAGCAATAATTAGGGGCAATAATTCACAGAAATTCTTTGGTATATCTATCAATATTTTGATAACATTGCACTCAGGGGCGGAGCTAGACTCTCAGTACAGTGGGGGCGGAGCTTCATCATGGGGCCCTCTGCTACCAAGTTATTTTAAAATTAAAAATTAAAAAAACGTAAAATATCTGATGAATGCATATGTAATAATGTGTCACTTGTTGAGCCAAGTAAGCTTATATGTTAAATAAAAGTAAAACACAAAGGCTATCTCGTTCTTTTCAGAGAACAGTCTGTTTTCTTTTGTTTTGAATTGTTCTGTAAAAGTACAAATTTCGAGCTTTCTATAGATATATTTCTCAGGTGTGTGAGGCAAGTAGGCTACCTTATACGCTGAGTTTCGGTTCATTAATGAGACGAGCTCCAGTTCACGCGCTGGCGCCTCCGTGTCGTGATTAGGCTATCTATTGTCTGCTATATTTACTTCTTATTTATTAAATCCAGACAATTGGTTGATGACACATTGATTAAAATTAAGATACAATTAATACAAAACGAAATTCGCCTTAATGAATGGCTTTGTACTTTATGTTTGATGTCTCTGGGAAAGTTTTAAAGCAGTCTTTCAGTGCCGCTTTCAGAGCGGTCGCTCCAACGCATTCTCATCCCAAGGCGTCATATACTGACGCTTTTGCCAAAGCGTCTACATCCAACGCACATGGCACCCTTTAGCGTCAATATAACACGCTTCAGTTATGGGTAGGTTTAGGTCTGGGGTATTGTTAGGGTTAGACCACTAGGAGGTGCCTTCCGGCCCATATATATCTGCGTCTCATATTGACGCTAAAGGGTGCCATGTGCGTTGGATGTAGACGCTTTGGCCACAGCGTCAGTATATGACGCCTTGGGATGAGAACGGGCTTGTCACGTCCGTGGAACTGTCACGTAACATTGTTTTTCCCTGATAAATGCGAACACGAAAAATAAGACAAAATGAATATTTTGTTCTGTGGAGAGCCAACCCTTCTTCATCCTGTGGGTAGTACTTTACTTTTTGTACTTTTGCCACTTAAAAGTTAAAGTTTCCGTTACGGATGTGTATTTCCCTCATATTAAATATAAAACGCATATGTAGACTAGACTGATATTTTTCTAATGTCTGGACTCCTTTATTAAGGAGTATGGATAAACAGACGTTTCAATATATTGGTATTAAATGCATTTTCTGAGAATTTACATTTCACGTTTTTTTTACCTCAAATGTCACGTCCATAACGCTGGAATTGCCCAATTTTAAAGAAATTATCCTCAACTAGTTTTGTGGTGTAGGTCTACGTATTTTATTATGTTAACTTCAAATAATACTAATAGTAATTTAAAGATGTGGTAGCATTGGATCTGGACGGGAAGGATAACTCTGGGAGTTGGAAGGGGTGTGTCGCGATTCTGCCTTCTCACACATATTTCGGTTTCATATCGCATATCAGCCATCATTTCTACTAAAGAAAATGACAAAAATAGTAACGCACAGTAACTTGGATAAGTAATTTTAATCTGATTACTGGTTTGGAAATAGTAACTCGTTAAATTACTTGTTACTGAAAACAGTTACCGGCATCACTGCTGGCGAAGTGACGCAAGATCGGCGGTGTTTGAGGGGCCCCTAATTGGCACGGGGCCTTGGGGCGACCGCACCCAAGCACCCACGCTATCTCCGCTACTGATTGCACTATTCATTTTTCGATCCTCAATGAAAGCAAAATAGTGTTCCTATCTATTTTAACAACCATTAAGATATTTTTTGTTGTTTAATATACAACTATGTTGAGGGGGATTTGGGGCCAGTGAGATTTTAATGTGAGTGTTAAGTATCATAAATAAAAACTAAATAAACAACAAAATGTCTTGTCATATGTTGTTTGTCATGGTCACAGCTGTTTAAGATACACCCAACACTGCTCACTTGTGGGCTCTTGTGTTTGCTGTACTTCCAGAATTTGCCCTGTGTGATGAGTTGGATCAGCCGCTCATTTAGCAGCTCTCTGTCCTGCTCAGGTAAAACACTCAGAAGTCTCTTCAGGGCCAGCAGAGAGCTGGTCAACAGACGGATGTACTTGGCCTCTCGCTCCTCCTCTGGCACACTCCTGCACAAAAAAACAACAACACTGAAATGACATATTTAAGCATAATTAACATATATATTCAACATATAAACTAAAACTATTATTATCCGTCAGCCACACACAGTGTATCATTTTTCAAAAAAAGAAACACCACTGTCACATCAGGTTATTTCAGTACATATCATACACTTACTGAGGGTCACTGAGAGTGTTAGCTGTTTCTTTCAGCAAATTGTCTTGGAGTACCTGAGAATCACAGAGGATGTATGTAAAAACTGTAGCTAAGCAATGTACAAGTACAAGCATAAAAAAATCTGCAGATTGTCATTTTGTCTCACTATGAGCCTAAAGATGAGCTTTATCTTACATTCAGGACTTCATCCTTACAGAAGCTGATGGCCTCTGGTTGTTTATTCGGGGGAAATGCGGCCTGGAAAGCAGCGCTTGCGGCGGAGGCTGCAGGAGAGTATGTGTCACACTGAGAGATGAGCCAGTGACCCATGATGCTCTTCAGGTAGGGGGCCAGATTCCTCTTCACTTTTAAAATCAGCTGCTCAAATGCCTGCTGTGTGGCCTCTCGCACACGGCGGTCATGGTCCTGATAAAATTATGTAATAATAAATACATATGTTCAGCAAACAGAAAAGAAAAAGAAAGAAAAAATGGCTGCCTCTAAATACAGTGGGGTCCAAAAATCTGAGACAAGCAAGTTTCTAATTTTATGCAAAAATGAGAAACATTTTTATTTAATACAAAATCTTTTATTCAATTACGTAATTAACATTATCATTTACACAAATATAAAAAATAATATTACAAATAAAATAATTAATATCTAAATAAACCAATTACATATATACACATATATAACGACAGGCTTGTCATTGTTCTCTTACCACTGATATTCGGCAGTATATCCGAGGCCAATATGGGAGGACACCTTTTACAACATCAGGCTGACGCTCTTGACACATTGCTCCAAACTCCTGTACTGCCTGAAATACACATTTACCAGCATTTATGAGCCATTCAGTTTCTGAGTCAGTGAAATGAAATGTTTATATAAATTGATATTGGAAAACAATGTGTTGTGGCATTCTTTCTTTCACTACATGACATGTAACCTTGTCACAGTCTTCAACCTGTTAAAGACGCAGTAAAAGCAATTTCTGAGAAACGCTGTTGAAAGTGGATCAGACTGAGCACCATAAACACTTGTAGCCAATCAGCAGTAGGGAGCGTGTCCACTCAATTCAATTCAATTCATACACTCTCATGATGGGTGAGGAGAGACAGTGAGTAAAGAGAGAGATTTGAAGAAAGACTGTAGAAAGAGAGATGGCTGAGAGACATTACAAATGAGAAAAGGTCAGAGGAATATCACTGGAAAAAGAAGGGTTATGATCAGGCAAGAGCTTCAGGACCCACGTTAATATTAGAAAAGCTTTCCAGTGCTGAAGAGACATAAGAAGGAAGGCCTGAAAACGGACCCCGAGGTTGTGTTGTTTCTGCTCCATATGTGAGTGACATTGAAGCTATGCTGTTGTTGTAATGTTAGCTATAGTAACAGGACAGTTTTTAGTGTCATTGTTTGTCTGGAGCTGGTGTGCTGCTGGTGACTAACAACAATTTGACAACAAACTGATTTGAAATATCAACAGTGTTTTTCAGAAATCGCTTACAGCCCCTTTAACTGTCACCCCCCTTTTACAGCATAGATTTGAACTTAAATGGTTGTAATTCATGAGTGGTTTGGAATACAGACCTAAGGTTGGTCTTGTTTTTAAAATTTACACTCAGAAGTGAAAGTACTTTCAGTAGAAAATTATATAAGTTTAGGCAAAAATGTAAAGAAAGATATACAAATTTATATTAGATAGCTCAAACGTACTGTTGTATTACAGTTATATTAGGTCGGCCTACTGCTCAAACGTAAAATAATATATATATATTTTATACTAAATAATATATATTCTACAAAATAAAATTGATAGGAAATCAAAGCCATATATCTAAGATATTTTCCAAATTTGATGTTCATATTACAAAAACTGAGCCCGCTAAAAGGTTTTAAAGTACCATTTCCAATAGTTTCGGCATCTTCAATTTAAAAACAGTTTCATAGGATGGTTTTTGACTGTTTAAGCTTTCAAATGATAAAAAAAAGTGTGCTAAATATCCCACTATCAGGAAAGTGAGAGGTAACAGGCTATGAAAATATGTGTGGGAGACCCTGACCCTGACAGTGCTTAGTGATCCACATTTTTAAATGTTAATTATCACTGATCAAACAATGATCAAACATTTGCCCTCTAGGCAATATTTATTTGTGACACTAGACTGTGAAACACTGCTCCAATCAATCACAACAAATGATACCTTCAATTTTGTGACTGCATCTCTCTTGGACAATTTCCGTAGAACCATGCGGAAGTCTGCATCAACTAGATTGTCTATCTCCTCAGCCCCCTGTACTGCAGGTACATATCCTGGATCATTGGAGGTTGAGACACCGAATCCCACAAACCCAGGTACAACACCACTCTCCCTGGCCAACAGATCAGCAGCTCTGCCACTGCTGGACGGCTGAAAGAGAGAAAACACAGGGCTGTCATTAGACATTCATGACCATTTCTTATCTAGATGACTACGGCCCAATGGTATAGTCAGATGATAATAGTTAGGATAATACTCATAATAGGATGCTCAACTAATGCACTTTACTATTTTTATTAGCTTGCCTGTAAAGATTAGAATAGCACCTTCTTTATCGCCTTTATCGTGATTGTCATGCTCCTATACAGCACATTGCTCAGTCCCAAAGGACTGTTTTAAATGTGTTTTATGAATAATTAATGAACAAGAACTAGAACTTATCAACTAATTCCAGTAGGATAATAGTTTTTTTTTTTTTTTTTTTAATGGGAACTAATGAACTTTCTGCCTGTTTACACCACAAACACGTGACGTCAGGACTACAAGAGCACAGGTTTACATATCAGACACGACAACAAAAATCTTACCAAATCTAATGTTTCATAAACACTACTTTTATACAATAAGATAAAACAGGTACATAATAGCGATTTGTTTTAGCGAGCTAAGTTACAGTTTGTCATGCTGTCACAGTTTACAACACTGGCCTGTTATTCAGTCAATTACACTGACTTTAGATAATTTCAACGAGTTGACTTGTAGTTAGAAAATATTAGTAAGTGAATAACTTTCATTTGTCTTACTCGAACATTTCCTTTCGTTCTCTGTTTATTTTTGCCACCCATTCTCGTGTTGGTTGAGCCGCGTCTGCTTTTCCGACTTCAGTACAGTCACACTAGGCGCGCGGTTATGATGTCACGTTCACGCAGTTTGCGTGCGTCCAAAATACTGTTAGCTGCACACGTGAAGTGAGCTGTGATCAATAACGACAGGTATGTCTGTTTTTCTAGATGGATAGTGTTGTGTTATGTATACTAACGTTACATATGGCATTCCTGTTTATTCCTTCAATTTTTTATACTTTTACTGACAGATATTTGATTTGAAAAATAGCTTGTTCCACACGTTCGTGCCTCACGTGCTTTAAAACTGATAGTGTTTATGTCGATGTGTTTGGGGTTTAAAGGGAAGGATGAGCGTGGACGTGGAGCGTGTGTTGATCCAGCTCCAGGATGAGAGCGGTGAGGTGCTCGGATCCCCCTTCGATGTGCCGCTGGACATCAGCCCAGACAAACTACAGCTGGTCTGTAACGCACTGTTACAGAAGGTAGGAATGGTGATGGACTGGATTATGTGCTTCAAACATCTCACTGAACTTAAACTTTTGAATTGTAGTGTATAGTATACCTGTCCTGTATGTGTAGTTTAGTGCAATCTTTAAAGTATAACAACACTTACATATCCTAATGTGTTGTATGTTCATTTTGTATTTGACAAAACATGTGATAGTAGTGTGGCATACTTCATCTAAAACTATTTTAACAATTTTTTTCTGCTTTCTGCTTTTTGCATAGTAAATAGTGTAATACTTATAATTACGTTTGATTACATCTTTTTTATGTATTGGTTACTTGAAGTATAGTCTCTTTGTTGAACTATTTGAGTGAATTGCAAAAAACTAAATGTTAATTGTAATGTAAAAATGTAAAAGAAACCGTAACCAGCACGTAAAATGTACTTTGCATTTTAAAGTTGGCATGAAACGGAAGTTGTGATAGTCTTTTTTTCCCTAATGTGACGTATATCCGAGTGAAAGGCTTTGTTGGAAGAGAAAAATGTAGGGCAGGACTTGATTTTGTTCATCGGGAATTGATTGGATGGTTGTGGTTTGCTATTGCTGTGATGTCATGTGAGTTGCCCCGCCCTCACGCCAATAAACATGTCATAAGAGAAGAGATGTCGCTTTAGGAGGGAGGGGAATTTATTTTGATTAAAGATTACGAGGAAACCTGAATTTCTAAATAATCATATTCATGGATTAGTCATTCATAATAAATACTGCAATATTCCATTAAAAAGAAGTAATTGTCAGCTACCGATTCAAATGAACAAATCATTGTTAAATAACCATGCTTTTGCACAGTGTATTCTGTACAATAAAATGGAGTTATGAATAGCTTTTGCCTAAAAAAACATATTTTGTTGCATTACATTGGATGACTAGAGGCTGGTTATGAATGATGCAGCTTTTATCATTTCATAACCCCTATCTTTTTGTCTGTCTACAGGAGGAGCCTGTGCCATTCCTGTTCTTTGTTAAGGATGCAGAGGTGGTGTCGTCCCTGGGCACTTGTGTGCAGACGTTGGGCCTGGAGACTGAGCAGGTGCTGCCAGTTGTGTACCAGCCGCAGGCCGTATTCCGTGTACGGGCCGTGGCTCGATGCACCAGCTCTTTGGAGGGCCACACAGAGGCCGTCATCTCTGTGGCATTTAGCCCTACAGGAAAGTAAGTAGATTAAACAGTAATATTTAGGGGTGTCCCCGACTAAGGATTTTCATAGTCGAATCAGATTCGTCAAGTCCTGCCTATAGTCGACTAATAGTCGAATCATGTGTGGTGTTGGGGAGGGGGCGGGGCTTTAACATTTTAAAGCCGCGATGTACAGAACATCACACAAAGATATAGAAGAAAATGTATAAAAACATTTTGGATCAATAAAACTAAGACATTTCTAACTTCTTTTTTTTTTTTTTCTAAATTTCTTAGTTTATTTATAACATAAATAACTGCAGAAAGGCCACACTGCATTTCATGCAAATCAAATTAAATCGGCTGAATTGCCTGTACGAGCATGCTCTAAGCCTACAGTGCAACATCGATGCACTGAAAAATAATCAACAATTAAGAACACAATATACATTTATAATAAATAAAAATACAAAATGAAATAAGTCAGAATCAAGTCAAAGGAAGCAGAACAAATGTGTGCAAAATGCCTAAAGTGCAGGGGGACAAATATTCAAAACACAAGTCACAAATAGTTAAATTAGATCACCCTGAGTGATCAATTAATAAAATAAAAATAAAGAAATTATTAAAATAATGAAAGTATGGCCAGGATTGTCAACTTTGTCTTTTTAACTGCAGAAACAACAATAAACGCTAAACTGGAGCGGCAGTCTTTTTAGCTAAACGTGTTCACAGTATCCAAAAATCAAATTAGAACCGGCTGAAATGTTTTGAAATCACTTGTACCCATACCTGATCGAGAAAACAAAATCCAGTCTTTCACTCGGCCTGTGTCCGTTTGAGTCTTTTCAAATTGTGTGCGCGGATAAAATACATTCTAAAACGCTTAACGTGAAAAACGCTTAACGGCTTTGTCCTAAAACTGTTATATTAAAAGATCAAATTCTGTACACACCTTATTAATAAAGCATACTATATAGCCTACAGAAAAGCAGATGAGCCCAGAATATGAACGCAACGCGTTTTATTATAGGCTACGTTAAGCATTTTCCTCCCATAGAAAACCGTTAAAGAAAAAGCTTTACGTGACTTTCTATAGGAGAAACGTGTTGCGTTCATATTCTGGGTGCATCTGCTTATCTGCACATGGAATGGTTTCTTAAGGTGTGTAGCCTACTGTGTACATACATTAAGCACGTAAAAGTGCCATTTAAGCGTTTTAAAAGCTTTTTTCACGTTAAGCGTTTTAGAACGTCCCGAGGAAAACCAACCTGTTAACGTTGGCCGGCAGAAGTGCGATCATGGTTTTCCTGATGCTAAATCCAGCCTTGGAGAATATCCTTTCTGATGGTGTGCATCTTTAGATTTTCTTATCCCTGACATTTTTAAAGTTTTAAATCCCTGCCGACAAGACGCTCCTGTGTCGGTCACGGATCGAAAGTGATCTGTCACGGGGTGTTTGGATTTATTCACGCTGCATGCACGTTAAAAAATATTTATTAAAAGCTTCTTTCTTTGCACATTTTTATTGACAGCATTATCATAATAGGCTGTATATTAACGTATTGACAGAAAACCAGTAGTTCTATGTGAAATCAGACATTGAGCACACTCATATAGCCAAAATGACATAATCCTCGTTTAATAACACATCTGCGAAGATTCGACCGTGAGATTGGTAGTCGAATCAGGCTCCTCCTATCGAAGCATCGAATCTTCGACTATTCGGGGTCACCCCTAGTAATATTACATGCTAATTTCTATAAAGATAGATAAATATATAACATATCAGACTGTATGCATCCAGATAAAGCTTTTTTTTATTTTGTGGTTATTCAGATATCTGGCCAGTGGATCTGGAGACACGACAGTGAGGTTCTGGGATCTGAGCACAGAAACACCACACCACACTGCTAGGGGTCAGTCTATCACATAACCTTTAGATGTTACTAAATACAGTCTTCTTGTAAGTTAAACCAATCATCTGACATTCTGTCCATCATGTTTTATAAGGCCACACACACTGGGTTTTATCCATTGCCTGGTCTCCAGATGGCAAGAAATTAGCATCAGGGTGCAAAAACAGTCAGGTGAGCATGTCATGTTCATTTTAAGTCACTGAAATTCCAGTGTACTGGAAGTTATTTAGGTCTAAGATATTGTTTTGTATCTGATGTGTTTTTTGCAGATCTTCTTGTGGGATCCGATCACAGGAAGTCAGATTGGAAAGACCTTAACGGGACATACAAAGTGGATCACCTGGCTATGCTGGGAACCTCTCCACCTGTGAGTTTTGAAAAATCATTTAGGACTTGTAATTAGCGGTCGGACGATATTTGGCATTTTTTTTTATTATCTGCATCAGCCGATAAGATCAGGATGTGAAGAGAGTTTCAACCAGTATAACAAAAGTGTTTCTGAAAAAAAGCCTACCCTACCTTTAATTAAATATCTCTGTTTAACAGTTCTGTCTAATAAATGATTAGACAAAGCTGTTAAAACAAGAAATTAAACTGTATGCATAATAGAAAGGAAAACACAAATACACTATCATCTACCTTCAACATTCAGCAAATATGCATTTATATCATTTAAACAGGCCTTTGAATATTTAATAAATATTTAATTTCACGTATCTTACAAACTTTGGCAAATCCAGCTGTGAGATCTTGTGAGGTGTGCTTTTGTATTTCATATTTATTTTCAAATAATTTATTTCTAATATCAGAAATTGTTATGCATGTGTTTTTACTATCTTTTAAATGAAATAGAATGATGTCATATATCGGCCAACCTGCTTTCTAAGATACCGCCGCTACTTGTAATCAAAGTATTAATACATGTGTATGTTTTATATTTGTTAATTTGCATGTTTACTTTATTTTAGCTCTACAGTGAATTCATTCAAATTTATTATAAATGATAATAATGTATTTTTATCATTTAATTATGTTTTAAAATTATTAAATTGTCTATTATTTAAGAATTGTTCAGAAAACGTCATAACAAAATAACAAATTTGATCAAATTTCACTCCATCACAGAAACCCAGAGTGTCGGTATTTGGCTAGCACCAGTAAAGACTGTACGATTCGGATATGGGATACGGTTTTGGGCCGTTGTGATAAGATCCTGACCAGCCACACGCAGTCGGTGACGTGTGTAAAATGGGGAGGTGATGGTCTCCTGTACACCTCATCTCAGGACAGAACCATTAAAGTCTGGAGAGCCAAAGATGTAAGATGTTTCCACTCATAATGGATCAAATATAACTTAAAACCATGTTTACTAGGGATTTTGTCTGAATTATGGTGTGAATATCTGCTCTCATCTTTGCCGCAGGGAGTTCAGTGTCGTACATTGCAAGGTCACGCTCACTGGGTCAACACTTTGGCCCTCAGCACCGACTACGTTCTGCGCACAGGAGCGTTCGAGCCAG